GTTTTTCATGTTAAGATTTGCTTACCAATTTTGTCTATGCTTTGCATTACCTGGAGCCACAGCACCACCACAGTTGTCAGGAGCAATATTGAGATTCAGGTGATTGGCAAAGATATCAGATCATAAAAGATACAGTTTGGTCTTGGTCTAGATCTACAGCTAGAGAAGAATTGGCCAGAGGTTCTGGAGAAAGTTAAAGTTAGTTTGTTTCAAAGTAATCTTCTATCATCCTTTTTACCAACTCGGTATTTCCACTTCCATATACTTAAACTACTAGGGCATGTTTAAACTCCTTTGGAGTCACAGGGCTCCCATGATATGATAGTGAAGAGAAGATCAACTAATTTTTTTTAGATTTGCGCTGTAGTTTTTATATTCTTTACAAAAATATTTTTTGAGAGTGGTTTCCTTTTTTTTTTTGCAGATTACATCTGAAAGCTGTAGAACGAATAAATAATGAGCATAGTGAGAAATTTCATTACTCTTTAACAGATTTGGAAATTAGATACTAGATTTATACTGAAACACTTGCTTCCCCGCTAATGCAGTAGCAAAATCTTTATTGCTGATTTAACAACGTTTCCAATTTGGCCAAAATTGTAAAGTGAAAGTTAAAATAATATAGTAATTTACAAGGCATATGTATAAATAAATTTATTAGTTTTATCATTCAGCATGTTATTGAATGAAATGAAATTAGCTGAAATCAGGAATGAGGCATCTTCTTACAGGAAGACTAAAAAACCCACATCTCTGGATCCAGTCTGAATAAAAATGTTTCACTTAAAATAAAAATATCAAGTCACATACTGAACAGCATTTGTTCACCACTAAAATATTTCTAATTAGCATTTACAGAGAAAATTCCCATTTGTCAGATTACAGGATATTTCTTTCTTATAACTTGAATATTATAATTTTTACAGAAGAGTTTTTTTTTTTTTTTTACTTTCATCAGAAAATAATAAAGACGTCTTCAAACCTAAAAATCTATAGGGGAAGCAGTGCAAGTTCTATTTACATGAATAATTTGTTCAGACTCATTAAAATCTAACTATAATTTCCATCTCTGAATTTAATTTCAAAATTTTCCTTGAATTTAAGTTACTAGTGTATGAAGTGAAATTCTTGACAAACAAAAAAAAAAAAGTGTTCACATCTTTAAACATTTTCAACAATGAATGCAAAAAATGCTTTACTTTGTAAAGCATAAACCCAGACAATGCCTGATGGTAACCATTCTAACATTTTTAGAATATTAGAAGAGCTATACAACTTTACTACAACATTGACTAATAATCATATATAAGTTGATTGATTTGGTTAGAAACCAGTCTGAGGAGAAATGGATTAAAAAAAAAAAAAACTTTTCTAATGACATTCAATTGCTGGCATTAAATTATTCTAAGATTTAAATCTGGAGAGGTAGTAGCCTTAGGAATTTCCAGCAAGTGTGAATTATAAAAAAAAAAAAAAAACGTTTGAAATTCGTATACCGATAATGAGAAAATTTATTTCCTTTTTACAGAAAAGTTTTTAAAACGTTACAAAAATTGTACCGGGACTAAATGTTTTGTTTTATACAGCTTCTGTATTTGTGAATAAAATTTACTTTTAGTTTTAGACGAAGTAAGACTGACACGTGGAACCGTGTATATGGGAACTATATGTGAAAGACTGAAGAAGATTAAGTGAGAACTTACACTAGTCTGTGTTTATGTTTACCAACGATCAAAGCTTACTCCAGTAAAAATACGTGACTAAAGTGGGGGGAACGAGTAACATAAACAAACGAGAAAAAAAAAAAAAAAGAAAAGCTTTCTACGTGCCCAACTACACGGCAATTTTTGCAAAGCTTCCTCAATTCAATCTGGGTCACTTGCACTCGTAGGAAAACGTCAAAAATAAAGACGAGGTGGGTGGTTGCAATGAAAGATTATGACAAAATATTTACAATTGAATATGCTAGCCAGCGAGTATAAGTAATTACATTACAATTAAAGATCGAAGTCCATAGAGCGTGAAACTTTATTTTAACTGTTAAAATTATGATTTAAAAAGAGTTTTAATTACAAATAGAGAGTAACATTTATCCACAAAAAAAAAAAAAAAAAGAGGAGAAAAGAACGGAAACCAAAAACTTCAAGAAAGTTTGTATTTTGTTCATTAATAATTCTCCTTCAAGGAAAAGGACATTTACATTTTGGAGGCTATTTTTCGTTTTATTCCCGACTCAGGAGGAAAAACAATCAAAACATGAGGCTAATTAAAGAAATTAAGCAGAATGTTTAAGAAGAGGTAATCCAGTGTTTTGTGAAAATTGTTTAGCGCAGTAAATTAAAAAAAAATCAATCAATCAATACCCAGAACAATGCGACTTTTAAACTTTCTGAAGGAAGAGGAAACTCCAAATCACCGGTTCTGGTAGCATTTTCAAATAGATAAACTTGAAACATGATAAAACAAATAACAATAAAAAAACAACCCTTTTTAGAAGTGGCATTTACTTAAAGAGTAGATTGTATTGTTCCTTAGATATTTTTCAGAGCTGAATTTTATACGTTATCTTAAAGAAAAGTTTTACTAACTAAATTGACAAATAAATGTAAAAATGCCAATTCCTTACACAATTTAATTACGTGTGTGTTGAAGTAACCGAAGTTATAAAAAAATATAGTACCGAGGCGATAAGTAAAAAAACGATCTTGTAAAGTATCAATGACAAAGGTAGTAGTAGTCCTGTTTATTGGGTTGTTTGACGTGTCAGTGTGCCGTCACGTGGAGGGAAAGTGTCAAGAACTTTCATTTCAATAGAAACAAGTTCATAAAATAACGCCCTACTTCTTTAGTGAAAAGGGAAAAGGAGAACTGAAAAAAATCTGGAAGATGAAATTTGCGTTTTTTACTCGTCAAAAAAACACAAATAAAAAAAATATTCTAAGCTTTTTCTATTGCTTTCGTTTTTGTTTTTTGTCATTTAACTTATATTTGGTTACAAAACTGGAAAAGATTTTACTGACAAAAACTTGTTAATGAGAAATTTAAAATTATTTTCAAAATCCCATTGATCATTTTAAAAACCATAAAACATGACTAGTCAAACTCATGCTGATAATCTTCGAATCTCATGCTTTTTCCTCCTATCTTTTAAAATAAAAATGAAGCTTTCCTTGTCCTGCTTATGTTAAACACGAAACAATAAATGTGAAAAACAAATTAGAAACGTACATTTATTTACTTACAGAATTTGCATTTTAGATACGAATAAGAGGACAAAATGAAATTTGTATATAAACTAAAAAAAGTAAAAATTAATGCTGTACAGTACATGATTGTGAGTAAAACAATAAATGTTTTATAAAGAGTTCATAGCATAACTTGCTTCTTACTTTTTATTTTAAAATTCAGTTTTTAAATGAAAGAAAAAATGTCTTCCAAAAACAAAAATAAACCGTCTGCTGACCTCTAGTTTCTAAGCCAAATAGCTGAACATTTTACTAATTTCCCGTTCTTTTGTCGGCCGATTGATTTTATTTTACATCTAAACCTTTCTTCCTCGTTCTGGTATAGTTCAAGAATTATCTTTGGAAACTCAAAGTCTTAGTCAGAGCATAAAGACTGCGGATTGACAATCCAAGACTACCTATGGTACATGTGATTGTGGAGCCAAACACTCCAGAGTCCAGGCAGATTAACAAAGGACGGTCGGAGTTTTTTTACCGATCGATAACTTTTTTTAGTCGGCACTTTATTTGGAGTAGAGTTCATAGTTCGAATTTCCCACAGAATGAAGAGTTCAGAATCTAAAACTATTTTACGGTTACCTTGAAATCCTTTGAATTTGATACATTTTTCTATTGTTATCGAATTATCTTATGACGCATAATAATGTAGTTACGATGAATCACAGGTTTAACTTTTTAAATTCATCGACGTTTGTAGCAAACTGTTATTCATTTAAAATTCAGCCGAATTAAAAATTATTACATTATAAAAAGAACTCATTAATAAATTTAATTTAGCAAGCAGTTTAATATTTTTCTTTTAATGGCATCAAATGAACTAAGTACTAGTGAATCGGGTTAATGCGAGAAATTTAAAACAAAAAAAAAAACAACAGAAAAATTATAAAAGCAATTTTTTCTCGTAAGATGAAATAACTACATCGTTACGTTACTGAATCATGTTTTAGTTTTCAAATGCTAGCTACGAAAATGATTCTTCAGATTAAAAAAAGAAAGAACAAGCATATTCAACCAACACAGATGTCGACTTCAAATTATTTTTTAATGAGATTATTAGTCATCTGCTTCTTCCTCGACATTATTTAGTTAATTTTCCTAGTCTTAAAGACAGTATGAAAACAAATTAAAATTCACTATAAATTATGTTTGGTTTTTAAATACCAATGAGTTATCCTAAAAGACAACAGGTTACAAAATAATTTTCAAAAGATCACGTAATCGATCAGCCTTTTCTAATTTTTGTTGTTTACAAGACTTTGGTTTGGTAGAAAAACTAAAAGACCCCAGACAAGAGCGTATTTTTAGCGAAAATTATTCTCCACGCGAATTTATGATGTAAAAAGATTTATTTTTTAGTTTAAATATTAGACTAAAAAATAAATCTTTACACTCTAAAACAATTTCTGGAAATAAGACGTAAAATGGAGTAGTCTTTTTTTATTTTTTTTATTGAACTTCATAAATTCTTTGTTTACACTACACGAACGTAGGGTTGATATTAACTTTAAAATAAGTTTAGTTACTTTGTTTTTAATTACTAAATTTTGGAAGGTCTAAATTCTAAAATAGTTTTATCACTCTGGAGCATCAATCTACCATTCATTTGCGTAAGAAATTTTACAAATGCCGTGAATCGGATTTTACATTGTGTTTTTTTATTTCTTTACTCGGAAAAAGAAAAGAAAAGTATACAGGGTAAAAAACATATGTAATTTTATTTTTATAATCCATATTCACAAGCAAATAATTACTTACCCAATATTGAGAAGGTCCAGCATTTTTAGTTTGAATCCTTTCTCCCAGTCGAGACTGGACAATAGTCTGTACAGAGATTACAGCAAAACTCCGTAAGAATTTTTCTAAATCCTTGTCGTTGAAACTCATGTTCCGACTTTTTTTTGAAGATCCGTACATAAAATATATTTTGTTTTTAAACGATAATTCCAACGATTTAAATTTTCTCCACGAACAATTTTAATTCCTTATGGAATAAAAACAAAAAAATGGCAAGAAGAGAGGAACTAAAAACAAAACAGATGTTATTTTCTTTTAATGTTCCAAGTGAATAAATAATATTACTTCCCAGATTACATGGAAAACAATCTTTTTCAGAGTAAAAATGTACACCAATACTTGAAATTTTAAAGCAAAAGAATTTTTAAAGGCTGTTGGAGATATTTATTCGGTCTTGTCGGCAACTGGATTTATTTTTCTAAATCACAAATTTGTAGATCTTTCACAACAATGTTTGACTTGATGTTTTATGTTTACTTTTAGCAAAATAATGAATACAACACTCGCAGTTTAACTAAAAAAAAAAAAGAGAAAAGTAGATGAGTTTGACAAATTAAAAAAAAGAAGTAAACTCCGTACGTAGTTTCAGTTCCTTCTTTGTTATAAACGCTTGACGGTAACCAAATGTTAAACAATTGAATCCTTTGTACGGCCTTTGGTGTGTCGTTTACTCGTGAATTCGTCTCCACATCGTATAAGGGTAAAACCGAACAAAATTGGCGTCAAATTAAACATAGACTCTCCTTCAACCTCCGCCATTGCGACTTAATCACGACACTACTCTTCCCAGGATTCCCCGTTTTCAACGCCAACTTCCTGGTTAAGATATTTCGTATTCTGATTGGCTGATTCAGAAAGCCGCTTAATTCAGCAGGGCATTTCAGGAATTTTAGTAATCTTTACTCGTGTATTAACTGTCAAAAATAACAAATGCTCTTCTTTTTTTTTTTAGTCCTTTCAATAGCAAAGAGTTAGAATGGAAAATGAAGCAACAATTAGTATTTCCTAAAAAAGTTATAAAGATGACTGCTCTATTTAAATATAAGAACAGTCCAAATTCAATTTATGAAAATTTTTACATTGGATTGGATGCAATTAGTAAGCAGAACAAAATTTGTTTTCTACTTTTAGATTGAGATTAAAAAAGACTTTGTTTTTGTGATTCCCATCTTTTTCATTAATTTTATTTTACTTTACTTGATGTTTGTTATAGAGAGAGGTGAATTATTTTTCAGAAAATGGGGCTTTCATTATATTTATTAGTCAAATAGAAATAACAAACAAGCATCTATCTATATTAAATTTATACACTTTTTACATGGTATACTTTTTTAAAAATTTCTATGAAGATCATATAAATGTAAATTATACAAAAAAATTAATGATGATTCTTGTGAAGCGAAGATGAAAATAAATACCAAGACAGTCAAAGACCAAATTACAAAAAAATGGTTTCTGAGTCAGAGGATTGTACATTCTTCCACATTCTTCCAATTAATAAATTAATGCTTTGAAAATAAATATTTAACATTTTTCAACAAACAGGAAGTGTTCCCGCCAACAATAAAGAACATGCCTTGTGATCCTTTTGAGGGATATTTAAGCAAAGTTTCTAGATGAACAAAGGAGGAAAGTGAGACAGATGGTATGATGTTCGGCTTAAAAGAAATTTCCTTATTTATTCACTTATCTTCCTCACCAAATTACGTGACACTTATACTTTCCTCCTTTCTCCCTTGCCTCTTCTTTCTCACACATACATGCAAAGAAATCACATTTCTTTTTATCTTAACAAAGAACTACAAATAAGACCTTTAAGAACTTTGACACTCATACACACTAAGAAAAAAATAGATGTAAAACATGAAAATAAAAATATTTTTATATTTAAACAGCTGTTTTGCCGGGTTTTTTTTTTTTTTTTGTTTTGCTGTGGGTTGATTAAAATCTGCAACAATTCTAATGACTATTTAAATACATGTTTCTCCTCCTTGTCATCCCTCTCTGCCTTGAGTTCAGCAAGAAGTCATTGGGTTATATGGAAAGGGAGTGTAACAATAACTGGTCCTGCAAAGTACTAAAAATCTCAAGAAAAATAATTCAGAGTTGCTATGAAATATAAAAAAATATAAAAATGTTCACAAAGTGTATTCCAACTAGGTTTCTAACACTGAATGAACTAAAAAGTCATTAGGCTTATCATGAACTTAAATTGAAGGGTGTGTGGCAACACAATGAAGAAAAGGTCAAGATCATAAAGACATAACATCTGCCCTTTGTCACATGAACAGAATAATGAAGAGCTATGATAAGTTTCAAGCAGACTACTAGGTAGGCATTTACTTTTTGCAATATGTAAATGCCTGGATGCTTTCTGAACATACCATGTATCTAATCAAGTTATACTGAGGGCACTTGGATGGGTTATGTATTGAGTTACATTCTCATTTATTTTTGTCTACCAACTAGATGCTAGTTGGGCTTTTCTATCCTTTCTTAATTCCGACATTCTTGGCCTTGCTACTTCCAGTTACCTTGGACCCTTACTTCTGGCATTCCTAGCCTTTGCTACTTCTGGCTACCACAAACTCTTACTTCCAGCTATGATGAACCATTATCTTCTGGCATCTTACTTCTGGCATTCCTGGCCTTCATTACTTCTTACCCTTATCTCAACCTAACTCACTTGGTTGAACGGTGTTAATGAACCTGCTTGCAACAGTCCCAAACTTCCGGCTACACATTGGTCCTACCTTTCCTGTCAATCTAACTTACCTGGTTCAGGAAACTGCTGTATGCATATTGTCCAGACTTCAAATAACCTATTCTGTACACGTCGGTTAAATTCTATGGAAGGTAAAACATTGGACTTGACCAGTACCAAGCAATGCCAGCACCGGACACTGAATCTGACCAGCAATTACATAATGCCAGCACCAGACATTGGATTTGACCAGGAACTATGCTACACCAGTACCGGGCATTGGATTTGACCAGCATCTATGCAATGCCAGCACTGGACATTGGATTTGATCAACAACTACACAATGCCATTTAAATGGAACTTCTTTAGCTATATCATCCTAACTTCAAATAAACTATTCTGTACACTTCGGTTAAAATACTATGGAAGGTTCACCATTGGACTTGACCAGCAACTACTCAACACCAGCACTTTCGCCTGGATATCTTTTGAACTGTGGACTTACATGGACTCTACTTGTAACTTTTAGTTACAGATATAATATCTAAATCTTCAGGTCGGTCAGTATTCCTCAATTTGCTCAATTCTGCCTCTATTACTTGATTCTTGTTTTGCTCATGTTCCTTTGAATGAATCACTACTTTTGTATCCCATGTAAATAAATTTTGTATTAATTTTAAGTTTGCCATTTATTGTCCTCTTGTTGACCTGTCAGATTTCACGTCTTTATTTTTAAAACATTAGTGGGCATCCTGTGACTATCTTTATTTGGGTGCACAGGCCATTTTATATTGCACTCCCTCCAGGGGGCCCACTACAAACTTGCAAGGACCTTTTTTGCAACTTCAATCAGCTGCTTCATTACTGTTGTAAAGTGTGAGAAGGTTTTGCACTCTTCATTAATAGAAAGACTATATATATAAGTCAATGTGCTCATAGAAAATCAGTTTTTTTCTTGGTAGAAGAGAGAATGTCCTCTCTCTTATCCTGAACATTAACAAAGGCGCAAACAAACAAGACTTGGAACTAACTACTATATTTAAAAGAACAAACATTTATTAAAAAACATTGAACAATATAAAAAAATACAATATTTTACAAGATGGGCTTGCACAAAAATGTCCTTTTATGCACCTTATTTAACAAATAAAGCAGGATAACATATAAAAAATAATATACAAGTGATTTTAAAAGATTTCAAAACAATCTTTGAAAAAAAACAAAAACTTTGAGAAGACGGTAATACAAAATTTGAATCAGGAAAATGTTTTAAAAGTAAAGGTGCACCCACCTAATTGTAAGACAAAAACTATCACCAAACGAAGGGAGCTTTGGCAATTTCAAACCAATGGGACCTCTTATAATTTATCTTTTATAGAACATTTCTATTAACAGGTTTCTATTCCTTTTTGTGTTTGCTTCTCCGGTGGCAGCCAAAATATTTGCTTCTTCTTTGAAGATTTGATCTCTCTTAAGTTTTTCATGCACACCACTATTCTGTTCAAATTCTCTCTTACCATTGTCCATTGCTTTTCTCCAGGTTGAACAATCTAGAGCTAAGTTTTCCCCCTCATTTTGCATGATGTTGGCTTTCTTCATTGTGTTTATGATGCAATCTTTATATCTCAATTTTAATTTGTGTGTTTTCCTGTTTCAGGATCCTATCATCCTTCATCCTAACTACATGACCACTCCATCACAACCAGTACTGAAGTACCAGTGACTGAATACTCATAGACTAACTGCATTCAAGGATATCAACATCAGTCACATATATTTGTCACCAAATACCCAATATACAGCAAAGACACTGTTAGTAAAATCACTCCAGCTTTTTCAAATGTCTCCAATAAGTGACCCAGGTCTCACATGCATATAAAAATCAGGGCTAGATTAACCATTAAGCAAAATAAGCATGTGCTTAGGGAATCAAGGGAAGTGGGCACCACAGAAATTGTTATGATATGATGTTGTTATACACATTGTTGGGTCTGTAAAATTTGTCTGCTCCCATATATAGAGAATTAGCCATCTGATAGAGTGAAATAGAGCCAGACAACTTGCATCTTTAAATCCTTGGTAGCTGGTACTGTGACAGCAGACAGAATTCCTTGTGTATCACTTCAGAGCAGGTCCAAATCTCTTCTCCTTGTGGTCAGCTTTTTCCAAACCCACATGTTTTGATTAACCAATGAGTGACCACCTCATATCATGTGACCTATCTCTATATACATTTATAACATCTAAATAAATAAGTCAAACATGATTAACATTTGAATCTACCGAGCAGCATTATGAACAGAGAGATGACTGATCCACGGTGAATCTTTACTGCAATTCTGATTAGTTAATAAAGGAATGGGCTAAGGGAGATAATGATGCTTGT